CCTCTGTGCTGATGGGAGCAGCTTGCTTTTCTCACTAATTGCTGAAAACTCGCTCCAGTTTTATCGTTTTTCCTTCAGGCGATTGTGATGACCGCATAGTCCTTTCAAGTCTTTTTTTTTTTAAAGAATTATTTTATTTAACTTTATTTGTTTCTAAGTTTTGACCAGAGAGGGACAGAGTGAGAGAGAGAGAAAGAGTGAGAAAGCAAGCTACCAGGTCCGGGACTCAAACCATGGTCAGCCATGTGGGGGTCCAGCACCCTTCTCCACCACGCCACCTGCCGGCCCCAGTCCTTTCAAGTCTCAGGATGATAGTGGTACTCATCATTGATAGAGCCAGGCAGAAGAACCCTGGGTTCACTGAGCAAAGAAAGAGCACGAAGATGCTTCTTTGACTGGGTATGAGAAGTACTGAGGAAACTGGTCATAGTTGGCAGTTACTGGGTGTTTCAGGGACTGTACCCAGTACAGATGTGCTTCCTGAGGACCACAGAATGGCCTTCAGCCTTCAAAATTTGGATAGTTATTTTTAATTTTTTTTATTTTATTGCCATAGGGTGTATGCACTTGCCGAAGAGACAGAGACAGAAGGACAGAAAGCAAGAAATCACCCCCCGGAGAGGACGGCCACGCTATAATCTGTAATTCCTTCTCCTCCATTCTCTCAGGATTTTGGGCACACACACATACACATGTGCCCAGCGTGAGTTTCAAGCTGCTGGGTCCTGAGTTTCAAGTGTGGGACTCGAACCTCGGCCAACCATGTGGTCCAGCGCCTTAGCCACTACGCCACCTGCTGGCCCTGCTGGTTATTCGTCTTTAATGTCAGGGCACAAAAACCTTCATACTGAGCTGGCGTCTCCCTCCCTGTCACGGGAGAGTCCCCTGCGCTGGTTCTCACGAGACACTCTTCTCATCAGAAATAACTTGGAGAGAACTTCCAGCCAGTCAGTTACGTTTAGGAAGTGAAACATCAGTGGTTGTCTTTGCAGCGGAGGTTCCTAGTGTAAATGCCAAAGGTTTGGAAAAGTTCCACAGGATTTATTTAGTGCTTAATTCTGCGTTTTCCACGGTGAGCTCACCCGCAGATCCCATGGCTCTGACCGTATTTAGAATCCCCTGGGGAAACTGCTTTGTTTCCATCCCCGGGTCTCCTGTTTTGACACCTGTTAAAACTCCCAGCTAATGAAGGGATACTTCAAGGAAGAAAATACCTCTTTTTTTTTTTTTTTTTTTTCTGAAAGTTGAATTTTTCACTAGTAATCTGGGAGCTCCTTGGGTCTAACTGAGCATGGCTTCTCAATGTTGTGGCTCAGGAAAGTGGAGGTGATGTCTACCTCACACTCAGAGCGTACTTTTTTTTCTTTTTGTTTATTTTGATTTGATCAAAGAGGTATATAAAATTGAGAGAGAAGGGGGGAAGTGAGAGCAAGCCTCCAGGACTGGGACTCGAACCATGGGTGGCCACATGGGAGTCCAGCACCCTTAACCACCTCGCTACCTGCCGTCTCCTAGGCTGACTTTACCATTGGCCATGTAAGCATACTTGCCCCGTGCCTGGCTTTTAAATGATGCTGATATACATCTTTGGTCCCTTGCTTCCATCCTAACTTGTTTCTTTTCTTTTTCTTTCTTTTTTTAATCCGTAGGTTTATATTTTTAAAGCTGACCGAAGATCAGGCACCTTAATTAAGATTTTTCAGGCATCAGGTAAAAAGGTGAGATTCTTGGTATAAGTGACTGTTCGTTCGTTTGAGGGCTTTCGTCAGGTGGGAGTCGGTTCTTTTAGAAAATTGGTGTGAAACCCCCTCCCAGGCCCTGTATTTATATGGTGGTTCTCTCTGCATATCTTTCCCTTCTCATGAGTGTGTGTGACCTGTAGATTCGCAGGATTCATGCTCATTTTATTTTTTTAAAGAGTGCTCTGTTCAACTTTATTATTATTGTGGTTATTTTTAGATTTGACCAGAGAGAGACAGAGGGGAAGTGCGAAAGCAAGCCACCAAGTCTAGGACTTGAACCGTGGTTGGCCATGTGGGAGTCCAGTGCCTTAGCCTCCCTGCCATCTGCTGTCCCCAGATTCATGCTGACTTTGGGAGACATCGTGGAGCACCATGTGCTCATGCATGGCCAAGTGACAGCACAGTTTGCAAAGGCTGTCCATCATCCAGACACTGTGATCAGAATGACTCCGTGCCCTGCCTCTGCCTTTCTCACCCCGCTCTGTCCATAATCTTAATCCATTGTCCTGCGTTTTTGTCTAAAATCGAGCTGGTTACAGAGTCCTTTGATTAGTAAGGAAGACTGTCCCTGGGCTCATTAGCTGCATACTCCTCAGTGTGGTTACATCAGCAGGGGTGTCGGGCTGAGGCCCAGGCTGGCCCCTCTGAGGGACACACGTTTAGCCAGGGAGGTGTGGGGGCAGTTTGGAAGAGACCGTAGTGTGCTAAAAAAAAAAAAAGCACAGGACACGTGGGACATCAGAGGGAGACCCCAGAGGTTGGAAATGGTCAGGAGGCGATATTTTTCGGAGCACTGCTCTGAGGCAGCAGAGAACAGTCGGGCCATCCTGAGCTGCTTCCGCAGGCCCCGGTTCAGTTCCCGCTGGGAGTTCTGCTCTGCACCAGCCTGGGTCCTTGGCCTTGGTGAGCCGTAGTCTACGTTTTAAAACTCCCACTCATCAGTAGACCTTTTTTGCAGTGTGAGTGACCTTAACATGTGTACTTAATGTACAGTCATGGACCTTTTTGAATAAAAACTGCTTCTGGGACCAGCAGTTAGCATAATGGCTATGTCGCTAGACTCCCACGTAGTTGACTGCGGTTCGTGTCCTGGACCCGGTGGCTTAAAACTCAGGCCGGGTGCATGTGCGTGCATGCCCAAGATCCCAGGAAGAGAATGGAGGAGAAGGGATTGTGGCATGGCCATTGCCCCTGGGGGGGTGATTTCTCGCTTTCTATCTCTCTGTCTCTCTCTCTGTCTGGCGAGCGCACGCACCCTATAGCAAAAACCTCTCCAAAAAGAGAAAAACAAACAAAAAAAAACACTTCCAAGCTCAGTTTTGCATTTTCCCTCAGAACTGCTCTCTGCTTTCCCCTGAGCACCAGGCTGTCCCGTGTTATTTTAACATTTCCAGCTCTCCAGAGCAACAACACCAGAAAATGGCTGTGAGCGATTCTGCAGAAAGGGTTTCTCCAAGTACTCTTGCAGGAGAACAGAAAGCGCTCCAAGCCCTTCGTGAGAAAACATTGCCCAAGAGCAAGCAGGGCACGAGTGCCTCTAAGCCTAATGTGTTAGAACAAGGAATGATGGGGGTCTGTTGTGGAGACAGACCCCCCCTCCCCCATTCACATGCACCTGGGTCTGGGAGCCTAAAATTACAGGACTCTGAGGTGGGTCGTGAGGCCTCACCAGACCTTCAGCCCATTCTCTGGGCATCTTTGCGTTCGGCGGTCTCTGTCTCCTGACCCGCTTCCTCCTCCCTCTCCACTCCTGCCGCCTGTGCCCAGGACAGGCCCTGTTAATGCCAGTTGTCCTGGTGTAATTACCAATCTGCACTTGTGCCCTCTCCTTAAAAAAAAAAAATTAAGGGAACCAGCAGTTAGCGTAATGGCTATGTCGCTGGACTCCCACGTAGTCGACTGCGGTTCGTGTCCCGGACCCGGTGGCTTAAAACTCACGCCGGGCACATGTGCGTGCGTGCCCAAGATCCCGGGAGGAGAATGGAGAAGAAGGGATTGCAGCGTGACCATCCCCCCTGGGGGGTGACTTCTCTCTTTCTGTCTCTATGTCTCTCTCTGTCTGGCGAGCGCATGCGCCCTACAGTGAAAATCTCTCCAAAAAAAAAAAAAATTAATTGACTAAGTTGATTATTATTACTTTTAAGTTTGACGAGAGACAAATAAAAAGGGAAGGTGAGAAGGCAAGCCTCCAGGTCCAGCACCCCAAACACCATGCCACCTGCTGGCCTCACCCTGTCCTTGAAAACCTCCCCATTCAGATGATTTCCATGGCCACCCTCCCCAGGGCCAGGTTGGTCAGGTTCTGGGGGTTAAATGTGAAACTGGGTGATGTATGGAAGACCAGGCAAACCTTCACGATCCCACTTGTCCCAGCTTCCCGAGGGCTTCATGCTGTCAGGTTCCAGGACGGACGCGCCTGTCTGCTGGAATACCCGTATTATGACAAGCTAGGTCAGGCTCCCCTGAGGGAGGAGCAGACGGGCCCAGGGTTTGTACATCTCAGCTCCAGAGTCTGTGGTTTTTCTTCTCTTGAGGGGTCTTCTCCACCCTCATCCTTACACCTTTCTGTGGTTGGTCTCATGGCCTCACATTCTCGTGCCGGGGTCTCCCGCTAGCTTTACTTCATTTTTGTCATTCTGATTTTTATTTTTTTACATTTTTTTTTTTCCTTTTTAAAAGAACCATTTTATTTAACTTTATTTTCCTTTGTATTTTCTTTTTAATTTGACCCAAGAGTGACAGAGTGAGAAAGATTGAGAGAGAGAGACAGACAGAGGGAAAATGAGAAAGCAAGCCACTGGGTCTGGGACTCGAACTGCTGTCGGCCACGTGGGAGTCCAGAACCCTCCAACCACCATGCCATCTGCCGACCCCGTTATCATCCTGAGTCTGAAATGGGCCAGTATCTCTCTTTATACATCGTATTCTGCTTTAAGCCAGAAGAAATGGGACGTTTTTGTCTCTGACTTCTCCATTGTCTTCTCTAGGGAGAGGACATGACCTCAGGCTTTCAAAGGTCGCCTTTCTCTTAACCCCGTGTCCTGAGCCACACACACACACACACAGAGGAGGCTCCTAACTCAGCAAGCCGTAGGTTCACTTCCGCTTTCATCTGGCCAGAATTCGGTCAGAGAGCCCTGTACCCTCGCTTCCCATAAGAAAACACACAAAACCCCCGAACTGGTTCTGACCTGTATTGGTTGACGTCCCTCACATGTCAGCACACGTGTGAAATTACCCATAAGCGTGCAATTTGGGTGTTGTTATAATAACACAGACACACCTTCCCGTTCCCAGGCGGGGGGAGGTCTGATGGAGGGATGCCCACCCCACAGCGTGTTATTGCCACATGGACGTCTGATTGAATCAACTGAGTAGGTGAAGCGGCTGCATTTCAGAAGTGAGAGAGGGAACTCCACAGAAGGGGATTTCTGATTTAGCCCTGATGAAGGTGCCAAGTTAAATAGCTGGTTGGAACAAAACGAATCGTTCCCTTGGGAGTTAGCCAGAGGGAGCAGCCGGCGGCTTCGGCTTCGTCCTTCAGGGCTGTGGTTGCGTCTTTCTGGTTTCTTTTACCAAAGCCCGGATGGAGAGGTTGGCAGGGCCTGGGTTAGAGTCTGGCAATTTGGTTTCTGTCCCCCAGCTCAAACCTTCCCAAGCCTTTCTCCCTGGAGCAGGGGTGGTGGCTGCGGAGGGGAGGTCTGAGTGGAGGTGACCTGACACGAGGAAGGGGAGGGATTTCTGAGCGGCCACTACAAAGCCTGCTTGTGCCAGTGTTAGCTGCAGGAAATAGATGGAGGGCCCTCCACCTCCCTCAAACGCCCCCGGGTCAGCTGCCCGCAAGTTCCAACAGCGAAAGAACATGTTGGTTCATGTCAATAAAACCAGAGCCTTTGATGTGAAAACTTTTATTTTTAAAAGGCTAGCATTTTAAATTTTTATTTATTTATTTATTTTAGTAAAGGTTGCAGACTGAGCCTTTGGAAAAGATAACACCTACATAAATTTTTGTTTCACCTGTACAGTGTTTATATTTCTTTCTTTCTTTTTTTAATTCCCAGAGGGCTTATGTAGGAGGAAGACAGGGAAACAGAAAGCATGCCCCAACGGGACATGGTCACAGCACAGTCCCCTTTCCCCCGTTTCCTGGTTTTGTCAGGATTTTGGGCACCTGTGTCTGGTGTGTTTTTAAAGCCCGCAGGGCTGGGATTTGAGCTTAGTTGGCATGTGGGATCCGGTTTACTCTCCACAGTGCTTAACCGTACTGTTACGGGGCAACCTGGTTTATTATGTTTTAGTATGAATAAGTGGTTAGTATGTTAAAAATGGGCACTTTAAATACAATGTTAGGTTTTTGTGTTTCTCTTTTTTTTTTTTTTTTTTTTTTTTGAGAGGTTTTCACTATAGGGCGCGTGCGCTCGCCAGACAGACAAGAGAGAGACATAGAGACAGAAAGCGAGAAATCACCCCCCAGGGGGGATGGTCACGCCGCAATCCTTTCTCCTCCATTCTCCTCTTGGGATCTTGGGCATGCACGCACACACGCCCGGCGTGAGTTTTAAGCCACCGGGTCCAGGACGCGAACCGCGGTCGACTACGTGGGAGTCCAGCAACATAGCCATTACTCTAACTGCTGGTTCCCGGTTTTTGTGTCTCTTGAAAACTGAGGAAATTGGCCTTTACTAGGCTAACCTCTGTCAGTGGTAGTCAGCTGCAGTGGGGCAGGAGCTGCTCTTTTAACTGGGCCTGCAGACTCTAGTTAGCTGCAGTTTCCACCCGTCCCTATTGTTCCGTAGACACCAAAGTCGACATCCCTTGCCACCCGTAAATACACTTGCAGTGTTACTTTTTTCTTACACCTGTGGTTTCATCTGCCAAGATCCCACTGATATTTGGGTTTGAGAGCCCGCCTTACAATAATAGGTCCTTTATTATGCTTGGATTATAGAAGAGCGAGTGTCATCAGCCCTGTTCCTCCTCAATCGAGCAGTCTTAGGAACTGTACCTTTTTCTGTCACTTCGCCTTGTACCCTCCTAACAAATCTGAGATATAGACGGGACTGGATGAGGTTGACCGAGTTCCCCATGTGAACTCATTTTCCTATCTGCCTTCTGTGTTGACATTTCATTTTCCTATGCGATTGCTTGGTCTTGTAAATGTCCGAAATATGGGTCATTGTTACTATGGTCGTAATCTGTATTTGCATCCTCCGCTTGCCCTAAAAACATAGTACCCCATTTTTTGAGATCAGTCTATTTATCACCCCCTTAACGGGGCTCCAGGAAAGTGGAATGGGAGCCAGTTGCTTCGGTCTGACGCTGCTGGGGCTCTGCCTCGGTGCAGGCCAGGGCAGCCGGGCCTTTCTCTGTTTGCCCCGATATGTCTCACGGGGCTGCCGGACTGCTGCAGCCTCTGAGGGGCTGGAGAGCAAGGTTTCTAAGCCCAGGGGCTGGAGGAAAGTGAGGGCCTCCTTGCTGAGGGCAGACACTGAACGCTTTGTCGCAACTCGACTTGGTTTGCAGATGGGTTCTTACTTCGGCTCCTCCTTATGCGCAGTTGACCTGAACGGGGACGGCCTCTCTGACCTGCTGGTGGGGGCCCCCATGTTTTCCGAGATCCGGGATGAAGGGCAGGTCACCGTCTACATCAACAGAGGAAATGTAAGTACAAGGTGAGGTCGTCTGGGGTTGGGGTGTGCGGGAGAGACATTGGTCCAGCCCATGGTGACTGAGCACCCCTCTGGGTACAGTGGACCCCGTTACCCAGGGCAGGTAAGAAGACAGGATTCCTGCCTTGACAAAGCTTAATGGTGCATTAATGGAAACTTGGAAACTTAATGCACGATTAAAAAAAAATAATTTTATTCATCATCATTATTATTTTTATTTGACCAGAGAGGCGGGAGTTGGGGGAGTGAGAAAGCAAGCCACCAGGTCCGGGACTTGAACTACAGTTGGCTATGTGTGAGCGTCTAGCACGCCTCAACCACCATGCCGGCCCCACTTCTGTACAGTTTAAATTGCAAATGCGCAGGGCCTGGGGAGAATCTTGATGACTGTCTCTGAGTGCTTACCATGAGTTAGGGCCTGCTGTTGCTTGGTGAATGATTTCAATGCAGTGTGCACACGAACTCAGTGGGCTCCATTTTTCAGGTAAACAAGTGGTGGGGCCAGGATTTAAACTCACGCCGGGCGCGTGTGCGTGCGTGCCCAAGATCCCGAGAGGGGAAGGGAGGAGAAGGGATTGCAGCCTGGCCATCCCCCCGGGGGGTGATTTCTCGCTTTCTGTCTCTCTCTGTCTCTCTGTCTCTCTCTGTCTGTCTGGCGAGCGCATGCGCCCTATAGCAAAAACCTCTCAAAAAACCCCAAAACCATCAGATTGTGTTGCAATGCTCTGATATTCGTGTGTGAGTAATTTGAGGGGAGACCAGGTACCCTTGGGGGGTTTTTACTGCCACCATCTCCCTCGCTCTCCGTTGGTTAGTGTTTTCTCAGGAAAGTCATGTGTGAACCCCAGGTAATAATAGTAGGGACAGACGGATGTATGCTCCCACCCCCACCCCAGCCCCTACCCCTTGGCAAGAGCTTACTGGGTGTCTGGATTTTTTATTTTATTTTATTTTTTTGAGAGGTTTTCGCTATAGGGCATTTGCACTCACCAGACAGAGAGAGACATAGAGACAGAAAACGAGAAATCACCCCCCACGGGGGATGGCCACGCCACAATCCCTTCTCCTCCATTCTCCTCTCGGGATCTTGGGCATGCATGCACACGCGCCCTGCGTGAGTTTTAAGCCACCGGGTCCGGGACGTGAACCGCGGTCGATTATGTGGGAGTCCAGCGACATAGCCATTACGCTAACTGCTGGTTCCCTGGGTGTCTGGATTTGTTATACTTCAATCAAAGTTACTAATATGAGGGGGACTTCAAAAAAATAATAGAAAACGTTTACTTTGCTGCAAGAAGTTTTGAAATTTGCGTGAAGCTTTTTTGTAATACACTTTCCTGTGAACTTTTTGAAGGCCCCTTGTACATACGCCTTGCACAAAAGCTTAGAAACTTAAACGCAAAGGCACAAGAGAAAGGAAAAAAAAACAAAACAAAACATATACCCAGGGCCAGCAGATGCTGTAATGGTTACGTCGCTGGACTCCTGTGTAGTTGACCACAGTTCGAGTCCCAGACCTGGCAGCTTAAAACTCACGCCGGGTACATGTGCAGGCGTGCCCAAAATCCCAAGAGGAGACTGGAGAAGAAGGGATTGCGTTGTAGCTATCCTCCCTGCGGGGAGGGGGGTGAGTTCTTGTTTTCTGTCTCTCTAGTGAGCGCATGTACCCTATAGCAACCAAATCTCTCTCTCTCTCTCTCTCTCTCAAAAAACAAAATAGAAAAAGAAAAATATATACCCTTCTAAAACAACTTTGGGGGAAGGCTGTCATGGCGTTGGGAACATTGGGGATACTGTGGGGACAGTTCAGTAGGTAGGATGGCTTGTTTAGAGGGTTTTAGGACAAGAGGGAGGTGTAGTCACTGCAACGTGACAGTCCCTCCCTCTACCACGGGTCTCAGGCCATTCGAGGCCTTCCTGCTGCCAGGTGAAAGGGGCACGTTTTGCTGCCAGGAGAGAGCAGTTGGGGTCCCTGTGACTCTGCCCAGGTGTTTCCTGCGGGCGGAGGGTGCTCTAGAAGGGCAGTGGCCGAGCCCTGGTTTTCTTACTGTGTGGTTGGGTCATCTACTTTTTGTTTTCTTTTCCCTTTTCCCCTCATCCTGTTTCTCAGGGAGCCCTGGAGGAGCAGCTGGCGTTGGCCGGGGATGGTGCCTATAACGCACACTTCGGGGAGAGCATCGCCAGCCTGGGGGACCTGGATGATGACGGGTTCCCAGGTGAGTGGCCTGTCCCCCGTTGTCATCCTCTGTAGGTGTGGCAGCATGCTCCACATTGGTTCTTTCCTGGTGACACATTCCAGAATCTATACTGTTCCTCTCTAAAGGGCCTTCATGTGCTAAGGAGATGGGCCAGCTCTGGAGCTGTTCTCTGGGCAGACACCTGGGGTGAACTCTCAGTCCCCTGGTTGTCCCAGTGTGTAGTCTTCTCATCGGCCCAGCATGCTTTGCTGCATGTTGGCTGTGGAAGGAAGGAAGCCTCAGGGCCAGTCCATCCTGGGCTGCTTATGCTGGGAGACGTGAACAGCTTCCTCCTGCCACAGACTCTTCTTGTGTCTGAGCTTCTGATGCTCCATGACGCTCTGCCATGCAGTTGGGGAAACACATGAGGGAAGGATTAGACATTGTCTAGTTGACTTGAAAATCGACTTTCGAGGACATGTGTGTTGGGAGGGGTGGAGGGTGTGCACCTACTGTCTAGTTCTGTTCGGTCAGCACGGTCCTGCCCAGTCCGTCGGCTTCTCTCTCTGGTCTCCTAATACTCTGTCCTCAGTGGGTGCTCATACACAGACAGCTGGACTTGGGAGGGCTACATCACCGGACATGTGGCTGGGGCAGGCTTGCTTCAGGTGAGGCAGGAAGGGTCCTTGGCTACCTCGTACCCCGTCACACACAGAAAGCTTCATTCAGAGAAAGAGGGAGGACTTCTGTGTGTTCAAGCATGCCCCTCACCCTCCACTTCACTTCCGTGGGAACGTGACTTTCGTTAGAAGCAAAGGGGGAAAAAGTAAGGAAGATCTAGGCTTTGTTCTGGGAGTTTTCAATCTGCGAGAGTAAGGTTGATTTTTGTTTGTTTATTTTTTTTGGCTACTCTATACATTTTCTTTACCAGGAATAGCATTGACTTTCTCAGTTATGAAATACATCATCTGTGGAATTGTCCTCTCTCACAGACAGAAATTAGGGTGGATAGTTATTTGCTTCTCTCTTCCTGGTGGGTGAATGCTTTTTCTTATGAGAATGGTAGAATGTTCTCTGGAACTAAATTCTTCTCAGCTTCTAAAATGTTCTCTTTCTTTCTTTCTTTCTTTCTTTTTTTTTTTTCCTGCTGCCAAATGTAATGCTCGAACAATCAATAAGCAAGATTTTCTGGTGCCCACGGACTCAGATACCATAGCCAGCTTTAGAGAAGCTGTACTTACATTATTCTACATGGCTTTTCTAACCCGTAGCTGTTTTTCTCCCTTCAGATGTGGCCATTGGTGCCCCTAAGGAAGATGACTTCGCAGGAGCCGTCTACATCTATCACGGTGATGCGGGGGGGATAGTCCCCCAATATTCCATGGTAATTGGTGTGAGAGTGTGTGCTCATGCGTTCATTCACTCAACAGACATGTGTAGAACCTTCATTCTACACCACACCCTCAGGTACAGAGGAAAACAACATGGTTCTTGCCTTCAGCCTTCCCGCCCTTTAGGGAGAGACACACAATTGCTTACTACATACTAAAAAGTATCCACAGAACCCCAAGTTGGCTCACATTCGAGGATGCACTCTGTTTCAAAAGATAATATCCAAATTCTTACCCAGAGTTAGAGCTATTGATTTAAGAAGAGGAAATTTCTCTTTTTGGTTATTCATTTGTTCACTGCGCTAGACCAAAAGGATGTGTTTCAAAATATAATCTAGAGAGACAGTGGCCCATGGAAGAGGGGCCCGGAAGTTACCGTATTAAGTATTGTCATCAAAACTGGGAGCTGGTCAAAGCTCCGGCCTGGCGCCCCAGACTTGGGAACGTGGAAGTGGTGAGTTCTGGTGAGTTCTGCTGTATCAGCTTGGTATTCAGTCTTGCTGAGGACATCAAGTCCAGCCTGTGAGAGAAAGGGAAGTCATGTTCTTGACAGAAGCATTGTCATGACATCCGTGAGTGTCTTCGTGAAGAGTGGCACTTGCTCCTGTCTTTCTCCCACTGTGTCAGTGACAGACGAGGACAGCACACATCTAAGAAACGTCCAATCAGGAAACACTGATTTCTTGAACACTTACTAAGTGCTGTCTGCTTCCTTCCTACTTAAGTGTCTATGCACACATATATATGTGTGTGTGCATATACATGTATATGCCACACACATTTATATATGCATATACACATTTATATTTCAATTTTAAGAGATGGTATGCAAATTTAAATTTAATTGTGCATTCACAATTGTTCTTTTTGCAGCAGATAGAAGTTAGCTACTTAAGAATTGAGGGCTTGTTCACTGCCCATCTTCAGGCTCGTTCTTTGCTGGCTTCCCGCTCAGCTCAGTGACCCCCTGTATGAGCCAGATGCTCAGGAGGTGCTGGTGAGAGGGGAGGTCATTTCTCAAGTGCCCGCTCTCCCTGACCTTCCCTGTAGTCCTCAAAGCAGCCATGTGAGATGGGTATGTTAGTATCCACCGTTGACCCCTGAGGGGGCTGTTATTTAACTTGTCCAGGGTCGTAAGGGGCAGTATGGCCACTGAGCTTGGCTGGTCTGACTCTTGGAACTTGGACCATAATCACTCTTCTCAATGCTGCATTGGAGAACAGAAGGCCCTAGGGTGCTCAGTGGGAAAACTTACAAATATGGGGACTTATTTTGCCATGAAGCATACGTACTCCAAGGGGCATTTATCTACAGGGACCATCTTCTTTTCATCAGAAACAAGTAACAGTGAGTGGGACCAGCAGATGGAGTAATGGTTACGTCGTTAGACTCCCATGTGGTTGACCACAGTTCGAGTCCTACACATGGTGGCTTAAAACTCATGCCGGGCACATATGCGGGGATGCTCAGAATTCTGAGAGGAGAATGGAGAAGGGATTGCGGCGCGGCCATCCTCCCTGGAGGGTGATTTCTTGCTTTCTGTCTCTCCAGCAAGCTCACATGTCCTATAGCAAAAATCTCTCTAAAACAAAAAGAAACAACAACAAAAACAAACAACAGTGGAAGCAATACTCTCTTAGGTGATTCAGCTGCCTTGGCAGGGGAGAGATGACTTTGGACCGATTTGGGGCCACATCCCTGTCACGAGAACTGTCCTGGTGTGGGTCAGCGATACCATTCCTGGTGGGACAAGGTGAAAGTCGTCCAAGGAGTCGTATCCTTGGGCAGCAGTCAGGGTCACTGTCCCCGCCATCCTCTGGGAAGCTTGTTTCTGGACCTGGGAGCTAATCACATGGAGGGGGCAACCCCTGTGGGAGACCTTGCTTCCCCTCCTCCCAGAGCCCGGGTGTTTTGTTTTGTTGCTGGGTGGAATCCCTGCAGGAGCCCCAGTATACACGTTGTGGTTAGCATGGAGTATCTTTGGTGGGAAGCAGTGATCAGCAGCTGCTTTTGCTAGCACGCATGCTAGCTCGTTGACTGACAGAAGTGGTTTTGGCTTCTTTAAAAAAGAAGAAAAAGTAAAGAAACAACTATGATTATACTTTTTCCGAGCTGCTGACATGTATATGATAAGGTCAGTGATTTAAAAGGACAAAAAAAAAAAAAACCCATTAAGGACAGATTCTCCCAGGCCCGGGCCCTGGACAGAGTGGGCATTGTGTGGGTGAACTAGAGGAAGAAATCCGAAAAAAAAAAAAAAAAGAATCTCTTTTCTTTGGCCCAGATTGGTATTATTTCTGCTGGATCAATCGTGAGATCAGGGCCTAAACTTCTTCCACGTGACTCTTTAACTCATTCCTTGTTCTCTAGTTTTCCATCGAAAGTGTTGATTTTAAGATCCTCCTATGCTTTTCCCAACTGGAGAGCCCACTGGGCATGCCATGGCGCCCTCGTTCTCCTCCTCCTCCTGTGAAGGACACTGCTCAGAAACCTGGTCAGCGGAGGGTTTGCAAAGCTCCTGGTTTTCATTTAGGATTATTAGCACCGAGCAGACTTATCTTCCTGGCTTTACAGCATAATGGTCTACAGATGTTGGTGGGATAACTTAAACCCACATTGCCACCCCCAAATGGACCACCCCTTCACACACTCCCCCTTGCCCCAGCCACAGCAGAGCTTAGAAACGCAAGAGCAAGCCGCTGCTAGTGCTCTCGGACTTCAGAGTGGAGAGGGTGCTTCAGCATGTGGCACATACATGTTTAGACAGAGCCGTGGGAGGTGGGATGTGAGGCTCTGCCTATTCCCATGAAGCCTCGTTTCCTGCAGTGCTCTGCTTTGTACTTTGTTGCTTTCACACTTCCTGTTGGGTGGCTTAGCTGAGGATGGCAGGCAGTCCTCTCGGATTGTTTCTAGAAGGGCCGATTGCAGCCTCGCTGCTGGGAGGCAGGGATGGCCTTTGGGCATCTCCTTCTGGCGGTCCTATGGACACTCCCCCTCTCCGCACTCAGGGCTCCTCTGCAGGACTCTGGGAGGAGAAAGAGAAGGAGAGAAAGCCAAAGTGACACCAGTTCTGATACGGATTTTGCTGTAAGACACGCAAACACCGCGCCTGAGCTGAAACAAAGCATTTCTCTTGTCCTCCAGTGTGGACTCAGGAAGTCAGCCTCCCAGAGGAAACTGAGCAGATAAAGGGAAGGAGAAGCAGGTTGGATCCCAGGAGAGGGGACTTTTCTGATTCAGGAAGTTGATTCTGCTTGTGAGGAACTGCGCCACGTGAGCGCTGACGCACAGTTGCCACTGTGGTGAAGGCTGTGCACCACAGATGTTCTTGACCCAGAGCTGTGTGTGTAAGCGTGTGTCAGACTTCGTGACAAAGTGGGTAGAGACGCTCGTGTGTCCGTGGTGGAGGAGCTGGAAACTTACTGGTCAGCTGGGGGCTGTCTTTCAGGGAGGAGTTTCAGCTGATTTTGGGGGGGCTATCTAGATTTTCTAGAATGTTCAGGACCATGGAGTTCTAGGTTTACTAGGTGAAACTGCTGACCCTCGTCTGTGAAGCTCAGCAGTCTGCAGAGCTTCTGGTTGGTGGGATGGAAGGATGGTTTCCACACAGCTCTTTCCAGCCAGACAAGTGAATTACCTGTTTGTCTGGAGCAGGACTCTTAAATGTGTGTCTCTGCGGAGGGTTAAACGTTTAGTACATATTGGAGTAGAGAAATAAGAGGCACACAGGAATTTTAGCCAGCTATACCCGTGTGAAAACAAGATACTGGGTCATTGGAAAGGTCACGATGTATTTTCTTCTTTTTTTTTTTTTGGAGAGATTTTCACTATAGGGCGTGTGTGCTCGCCAGACAGACAGACAGAGACATAGAGACAGAAAGCGAGAAATCACCCCCCAGGGGGGATGGTCACACCGCAATCCCTTCTCCTCCATTCTCCTCTCGGGATCTTGGGCACGTACGCACATGTGCCCGGCGTGAGTTTTAAGCCACCGGGTCCGGGACACGAACTGCGGTCAACTACGTGGGAGTCCAGCGATATAGCCATTACGCTAACTGCTGGTTCCCAATGTATTTTTGTATCGAGAAACATAGAATACATCATGACTTTCCCTCAATCCAGTAGAACCTTTGATAGAAATGAAGGTAATTCAACTTTATCTGTTTTGAACTTCAACGTGTCTAAAAATGATCATATCAGTCTACATAGATTCTTGTTGTTGTTGGCACTGAACTTAAAACACGTTTAAAATGATCAAATTTGGCCAAGGCAACGATACTGAAGGAGTGTGTGTTCTTCAGCCGCCTGCTACAGACCCCCTGATCAAGTTAGGACTACATTTTCTCCTCAACCATGTCAAGACAGAGTGACCTAGAGAAGCTGGAATACAGTCGTCGCAGGTTCGTATTTGTGACGGGGCCTTTCCGGTGACTCCATTTCCCTGTGGTCTGTTTCAGAAACTGTCTGGGCAGAAGATAAATCCAGTTCTGCGGATGTTTGGTCAGTCCATATCGGGAGGCATTGATATGGATGGGAACCGCTATCCTGGTAAGCGGGTTTGCTGTCAAGGCACAGGAGATAGAATTGTGTGAAGCAGGGTCGTTTCCAGGACGGTTAGTGGGGGTGACATCCACTTAGGATTAGGACGACTCACACGATAGAATGGGGAGCTTTGCCTGCTGTTGTAGTTGAAGGTGAAAATAAGGTTCAAGTTGATCTTTGGGCTTAAAATGATCTCTTAGGTTGTCAGGAAAGTCAGGGCATATTTTTCTGTGCAAAAATGCGTCAAGACTTTCCTGATGGAACCAGCAGTTAGCGTAATGGCTATGTCACTGGACTCCCACGTAGTCGATCATGGTTCACGTCCCGGACCCGGTGGCTTAAACTCATGCCGGGCGTGTGTGCGTGCGTGCCCAAGATCCCGAGAGGAGAATGGAGGAGAAGGGATTGCGGCGTGGCCATCCCCTCTGGGAGGTGATTTCTCGCTTTCTGTCTCTCTGTCTCTCTCTGTTTGTCTGCGAGCGCACGCGCCCTATAGCAAAAACCTCTCCCAAAAAAAAAAAAAAAGATTTTCCTGACAACCCAATACTCTGAAGGATTAATGCACTGTGGGTGTGTGGATTTTTACAGTGATTTCTGTGGCAACAATTCTTTCTATTGAAGAACAAAGCACTGTCCACATTTAAAAGTATATAGAGGGGACCAGCAGTTGGCATAATGGCTATGTCGCTGGACTCCCATGTAGTCGACCATGGTTCGAGTCCCGGACCCAGTGGCTTAAGCTCATGCTGTCCGTATGTGCGTGCATGCCCAAGATCTCGAGGAGAGAATGGAGGAGAAAGGATTGTGGTGTGGCCACCCCCCTGGGGGGGTGATTTCTCGTTTTCTGTCTCTCTGTCTCTTTTTCTGGTGAGTGCATGCGCCCTATAGCAAAGACCTCTCCAAAAACAAAACAAAATAAAACCTCATATGTTCCTTGATATTTAACCATATTCAGAAACCCCTCACTCTTCAGAGGGAAGGGGAGAGACACTTTCCCCACTCCGGTCTGTTACCCCTGAAAGAACTATTGAGAGAAAGATTTAGAGGGAGGAGAAAGCTGTGTCTTTCTGACAGACAAAACCGACCTTCCCCATTCAAGGCTGGCTGGCTTGTCTTCAGGGTTAGCTAATTCCCTGGGGTGGTTGAGGGCTAATGGGATAAAGCTGTGTGGTTCAGGGACCAGCAGTTGGCGTAATGGCTATGTCGCTGGACTCCCATATAGTCGACCGCGGGTTAAGTTCTGGGCCCGGTGGCTTAAACTCCTGGCGGGTCAGTGCTGAAGCTTTTGTCCCAGCACAGACCTTCACCGGCCTTTCTAAGTTTGAGGAAGCAGTTCTCTTCATTCTAGGAAATTCATGGCCATCCATGAATAGCACATCATGTGAGTTTTTCCCTTTAATACATGCAACATGCTTCCACATGCAATGCACGTCTGACAGTGACTGCCACAGTTAGTCGTAGGCAGGACACTGAGCTTCCCTTAGAAAGGGGGAGGGACCAGCAGTTGGCATAATGGTTATGTCCCTGCACTCCCATGTAGTCGACCGCAGTTCCAGTCCTGGACCTAAATTCAAGCCGGGCATGCGCGCGTGCATGTCCAAGATCCCGAGAGGAGAATGGAGGAGAAGGGATTGCAGTGTGGCCATCCCCCCAGGGGGGTGATTTCTCGCTTTCTGTCTCTCTGTCTCTCTCTGTCTCTCTGGTGAGCGCACGCGCCCTATAGCAAAAAAACCTCTCCAAAAAAA